ACCAAAAGAAGTTAAAGAAGTCTTTGAAAAAATGAAAAAGCCATACCATGGGTTGGAAGGTTTAATATTGTTAAGATGATAATACTCCCCTGTGAACTAAAATGCTCACCACCACCCCCCCACCAGCTGACTGAATGGACCCCCTCGTGACCAAAGGAATATTCTAGGGCAAAGTTGCCTGCCAGGAGGAGGGAGGTCAGACAGGCCTTATCATGCCCCCCTCCCTTCTTGGAGTCTTCCTTTGGAACCCATTAACAGGCCTAAGGGTATGCAAGACAAACCTGCAGGCCCTCAATTTGCAACAAATGGTGGCTTATCTCTGGTAAACAGTTTGTTAAAACATTCCAGGTCTTTAGACAAAGCTTCATGTCTTTAGCCAATTATAATCTAAAGAATCTTTAAACCCACCTATAACCTGTAAGCTCCCCCCCCTTCGAGATGGCCCTCCTTTTTGGGCCAAACCAATGTATGCCTCCCACACATTGATTCATGGCTTACCCATAACCCTCGTCTCTAAAATGTATAAAAACCAAACTGTTACCCAGCCATAGTGAGTCCACTTGCCCAAGGCCTCTTGGCAGTGGCTCCGGGTCATGGTCCTCAAATTTGGCTCAGAATAAATCTCTTTAAAATTATTTTGCAGACTTTGGCTTTTTTTTTCGTTGACACCCCAAATTGATCTCCTGAAGATTCAAGGCAATTCATATCAAAATTCCAGCTGTTTTTTTTTTTTTTTTTTTTTGCAGAAACTGAGAAGCTGGTCCTCAAATTCATGTGAAAATACAAGGGACTCAGCATATCAAAAACTATCCCCCCCAAATAAAAATGAGGACAAGAAAGAACAATTTGAAGGATTCATACTCTTGATTTCAAAGCTTACTACAGAGCTATAGTAATCAAGACAGCACAGTATTGTCTTGAAAGGGACAGATATATAGATCAGTGGAATTAGAACTGAGAGACCAGAAAAAAATTCTTACATATTTGGTCAATTCAATGGGGAAAGAATAGTCTTTTCAAACAGTGGTGCTGGGGCAACTGGATTTCCATACAAAGAAATGTAGGCTGACCCCTACCTCATACCATATACAAAAAAATTAGCTCAAAGATAGATCATAGAACTAAATTTAAAAGCTAAAACTAAAACAGAGGAATAAATTTTTGTAGCATTGGATTAGGCAACTGTTTCTTAGATATAATACCAAAAGCATCAGCAACAGAAGAAAAAAAACATTAATAGATAAAGTGTACTTCATCAAAACTAAAAACTTTTGGGCTTCAAAGGACACCATAAGGAAATGAAAAGACAACCTACAGAATGGGAGAAAATATCTGTAAATTATATATCTGATGGACTTGTATCCAAAATAAATGCTAATAACTCTTACTTACAACTGACCAATAAAAAGACAACCCAATTAAAAAATAGGCAAAGGATTTCAATAGGTCTTTCTCCAAAAGAGATATACAAATGGATAAGCACATGAAAAGATGCTGAAAATCATTAGTCATTAGAGAAATGCATATCAGAATTACAGTGAGATACTACTTCATACCCACTAGAATGGCTTAAATACAAAAGACAGTTAAGAAGTATTGACTAGGCCATGGAGAAAGTGGAACCCTCATACATTGCTGATGGGAATGTAAAATGGTGCAGCCACTTTGGAAAACAGTTTGTCACTTTCTTAAAAGTTCAACATAGAGTTCCACATGACCCAGCAATTATACTGCTAGGTGTATATAACCAAAAGTATCGAAAACATATGCCCACACAAAAACTTCCACACAAATGTTCATAGCTGCATCATTTATAATAGTCAAAAAGTAGAAACCACTCACATGCCCATCAACTGATAAATGAGTAAACAAATACGGCATATCCATATAATAGATTCAGGTATAGAAAGGAACGAAGTGCTACAATATGGATGAACCTTGAAAACATTGTGCTGAATGAAAGAGGTCAGACACAAAAGACCACATATTGTATGATTCCATTTATATGAAATGTCCAAAATAGGCAAATCCATAGAGACAGAAAGTAGATTAGTAGTTGTCAGGAGTTTGGTAGGAAGGGTAATGGAGAGTGACTGCTACTGGGTATCGGGCTTCCTTTGGGGAGATGAAAATGATCTAAAATTACATAGCAGTGATGGGTGCACAACTCTGTGAATAAATAAAAACCACTGAATTGTACACTTTAAAAGGACGAATTCTACGTTGTGTGAATTCAATCTCAATAAAGTAGGTATTAAAAAAAGTCACCCCATGGAGTCTCTGGGATCTAGAGAAAAATCTATTTGTGAGTTAGTAAGCACACAACACTCTTTTAGGAAATTCATTTTCATAGACTCTTAGCTGCAAATACCAAGTAGAGAAAATGCCAATTACTGGAACCCTTTCACTATGACCATGAACTTCCTGTTTAAAGGTGTCTCTAAAAGAAAACTCCATTCCCATTGTAAATTCACTTTGAAATGAGGCAGGCTGCCATACACCTTCTATATTTTTATATCCTTTTCAACTAAGGTGATCACATTCACAAATGTGAGCCATACATGGTAAAGATCACGTGGGTTGTTAGAGATACAACATTCTATCGGTCTGAGTTTTCATACTGAAGTCAAACTTTGCTGCATGAATAGGAAGTAAAGCCTTTGTGCCTTCATCCCCTCACTAAAAATAAGCCTCCTTCCCCTTCTTCATTCCTTTGACGTGACTGCTCTGAGCAGTCTCCCTAGCTGTATAATGGAGCAGTAACTTCTCACAGGGTTCCTGTGAGGAAGAAGAGGCATGTTAGGCTTTTGCTTTGTACCTGTAAGTGAGCAGCTAGAAAGGGTGTCCTGAAATAATCCAAATGGTTTCTGGGAACTGTCTTATACTAAAAGCTTCTTAAAAGAAGAGACTGGATGAGAGCAAGTCCCCTGCTCTCCCTTCAAACTTTGGTCTCTTTGTTCCTTTTATTATTTCCTGGTATTATTAGAGAGCACTATTTTTTTAAGGCAATGTACTTTGTTGAGTGGCCACGCACTTCAAGTTTGTTTATGTCTGAAGTTTCCAAGCTTATCTTTGTGCACTGGTTTTATTTCTGCAGAAAAATAAAAAGATTGAAAATAAACAATTTTATGGACATATAAGATGAGAGACTCTCTCTAATGTAAGGTGGTGGGTGAGAAATTAGGAAGAAAACTGAGTGGAATGCTTCTCAAAGACTTGTTATGAGTCTGTTTTTGAAAGCTCCATATAGGCAGCAGCCAAGTGATGCAGCATTGCAGAATAAATCTATGGGGCTAGTTGATGCAGCTACATTCAAATTCATTACCATAACCCAAAGAAAAAAATCACAATTAGGTAGAACAAGAACAATTTCTTGTTTTAAAAGTATTTTAAAAAATGAAGAACATGCAAAAAAACTACCAAAACTTTTATCCTAAATCAGCACAAAGCAAATCCATTTTCACTAAGTTAAGTGATTTACTATTTTATTGTGTATTCACACATATGCGTACATACATGTGATATAAAAAGAACACACATTTCAGTTTTATCTTTGGATGTTCCTTGAATAGAGGCTATCACTTTTATAAGACTTAACGTGTTTATGCAGCATAGCATGTCGGATAAGTGTTCTAGAGTCAATCTGAGTTCAAGTTGTACCTCATTAACTAATGAGCTGTTATACTCACTTGAACCGCGTAACCATTCTAAACCTCAGCTTCCTCATTTGAAAAATGGGGATGATGACAGTCCCTATCTCTTAGGATCATTGTGAAGCTTAAATCAAATGCTTCATGGAAAAGGGCTTGGTGACTGACACCTGGTAAATGCTCAAGAAATATTAGCTACTTCTATTTTTTTTTTTTTTTGAGACAGAGTCTCGCTTTGTTGTCCAGGCTAGAGTGAGTGCCGTGGCGTCAGCCTAGCTCACAGCAACCTCAGACTCCTGGGCTTGAGTGATCCTTCTGCCTCAGCCTCCCGAGTAGCTGGGACTACAGGCATGCGCCACCATGCCCGGCTAATTTTTTATATATATATCAGTTGGCCAATTAATTTCTTTCTATTTATAGTAGAGACGGGGTCTCGCTCTTGCTCAGGCTGGTTTTGAACTCCTGACCTTGAGCAATCCGCCCGCCTCGGCCTCCCAAGAGCTAGGATTACAGGCGTGAGCCACAGCGCCCGGCCAGCTACTTCTATTTTGCCAGTGATAATGGTGTATATGTCTATTACCTGGACTAGGTAACAATTAATCCACTCTAACTTGCTTAGAACATAATTGAACCAAGCTTTAACACTGTAACATATACAGAATACTTAGGACATGATACATAGACAAAATCTTTAATGTTCAGAAATATGGAATATAAGTGTCACTTGTTCTGCATAGCCTCATTTCTTTTCTAGCTTCTAAGTGTAGCTTATAGAGGAATTGAAAGAAGAAAAGTACTAAAGCAGGAAAGAAAAAATCAATCTGATGGACAGGAATACAGCCACCAAACTAGCCCTGGGATTTATTCGATGACACTGCTTTACTGTTAACCTTCACTCATATCATTTATTATTTGGGGAACTGCTGCAGAGAGACCAGAAAGTGAATAGAATAATGATGTTTTTATGGCTCCTAATGTAGACTGTTATTGAAAATCTGTCAATTTTACTGGCAAGCTTTTGGCTCAAAAATAAGATCTTCATATATAATTTGCAGGCAGTGATAACTAAATTACAGGACGTAACTAGGAAATAAAAAATAACAATTATGATGAAAATTACATAATTATCTTTCTCATTAAAAACATGAGGTATTCTATTATCCTTGGGATGTGCTATATACTCTTCACCAGCTGCTGTTACCAAACTAAACTACGCCGAAATAGGAAAGAAAATATATTACTGATTACCCAAATGATGACAATAGATACTGGTAAAAATGTGTGCAAAGTGGAACAGAATAGAACATGGCAGGATGTATTGCCCACATGTGTAAACGCGAAACCACTTACAGATACTTCGGGGATGGGTCTCAACTTTTCCCCTGAGATTTCTTTTAGGGAGGTTTTGTTTTGCGAAGCTGGCACTTGATGAGCTGGTAGGTCCTTTGCTTTGATAAGGGGGTCTGGAGTTTTCTGAGAGGATCCACACCTTCTTCCAGGGGGAGAAAGGCATGGTGTAGGCAACAAACTCGTTTGGAAGTCGTTTCTATCTATTTGCTTCTCCAAGGAACTCTGGCTTTCTGCTGCTGCTGCTGCTTCCATGCAGGCACTTTTTAGACATCCTTCACTTGTCGGGCTTGCTGCCTTTCCCAGCACGCTCTCTAATGTTAGCCGAGTTAACCCTGAAGGACCAGTTGTTGGGCTTGGAGAACCCTGGAAACTGTGGTTACCCTACATTGGGGAACAAAGTGAAAATCTTTTTGAGCAGAAATTTGTGGCGAGTATTATTAAGAGCTTATTAAGAGCACAAGTTCTTAATAAGTTCATTATTCTATGAATAAAACAAAAGTGTATATATATTTATATTAATCTGTAAAGAAAAATATAAGTAAAAATACCAATGCAAATAGATGTAAGTAATTTGCCCAAATGCCTTGCTATATGGTATCTGGCCTGGATAAGGCATATTTTTTACTCACAAATGACAAGAGAACATTTAAAGAAATAGTTACTAATATTCATTCCAAAGAATGTCTAAATGACAAGGACCCACAGAAAGTTACCTAAAACATCTAAGAATCATATACATTGAGTTCCTGATGAGCTAATTCCGTGGGAAGAGAAATAACTAGAACTGATGGTAGTTACTTGATATAGGCAGAGAAATGGTACTGTAAATATTATACAAGTGGGTCTAGCAAAGCATTTTTGCCTTATTATTGGTCAGTTTTATTATCCAAGAGCAATAGATAGTGGAACATGTTTTATAAAGTATTTTTTACATGAAAATTTCAATTGTAGAAAGTGCATTTTTTCACAAAATATGAACCTCACTAAATATAATTGTTTGAAAATTTGAAAGTGAAGGCTAGAATTTTACAGGTGTATAGTTCTGTGATTATCCATAGGAAAGTAAAAGTTTAAATTCTTAAAAACTGAGAAGGAAGAATTACATACATAAAGTCAATGGCCATGAAAGTAAGTAATGAAAATTAGAAATGTGGTGCCATTTCAATTGGTATTCTGCTATAAAATAGTACATTTAAAGAAATAACTCTGTGACCACTGCATTTACCTGTCATGGTAGATATTGTCCAATTTGACTCATTTATTTAAATATATAATAAATAAATAAGTGTTAAATAGAGAAAAAAATACAAGTATATTTTAAAGAGATTATTTGGTGTCTGACAATGCATATCTTGACATTCAGTTTCAGTAAGCTATTGCTCCATACTTTCATTTATATAGCCATACAAAACCAAATATCCAGTTATTTCCAAAGTTCATCATTATTAAACAAAATATTTGGTTGAATAACTGAACTGTTCAATTTCTTCTTGAATGTTTGGCTATCATACACACTTGACGTAAAAAAAAAAATTGGTCTAAGGTGAAATTTCCCTTTCAAAAAAAGTAAAGTATGTTTAAAGGTAAAAGAGCTTGCTCTCGGTTGGGCATGGGACAAGGGGGAGATTTATGGAAGCTTTTCATTAGAAGGGATCTGTGTTATCTGTCATCGCTCTAGCTCTCTTCTTTCCTTCCTCATCATGGGCCAAGTATCGCACTAGGCACTACAGATGCTGGGAATACAAATGGTAGACCAGAACAAAACCTCTGCCATCCAGGGACTATCTACTGAAGGCAACAAGGAGTCAATGTGTGATTTGAAGCAGGGGAATGCCACAATGGCACAAAATAGAAGGCATGGGTGTGAGTTTATGAATGCCATTTGTGGAGTGTTTGGGGTGGTTTGTGGAGGCAGCAGAAATGGAGGCCAATTAGGAGACTACTGTATCGTTAGAAATGCTGAGGTGCCTACGTTAAGGCAATAGCAGTGATGATGGAGAAGCTAGCCTGATTTGAGAGCTCAAGTTAGTATACCAAAGGCAGAGTATGTCACGCTTAGTAATTCTGGAAATCTCTCACATGGAGTATGCGATCCCTAACCCTGTCATAATTTTTTCTTTTTGTGGGAAGTAGTTGGGATTAGTAGACTAACGGTGCACTCAAGAAAGGTACATCTGGGTCTTAAAACCCCTCCTAAGAAATAGCTTAGCTATCTACAGTAAAAGATGAGGACTGTAGACTATAAGGATCTTTCATAAACGTTTCTTCTTGGTACTCATCTTGGGTGTAAATTTTCTTTGTCTATGCCAGCTTCATCTTCTGATACATATATATATATATATATGTATATATATATATATACACACACATAATATACATATATGTATATATAAAATAAATTATGGAGAAACTTATCTTTCAGAGTCCCATTTAGGGTAAAGAAAAGATGGTGACTGGGTGTCAACCATGGGCCCTTATTTGTGGTCCACGTGACAACATAGGAAGGGCGAGAATATTTTTGCGCTTGCAACAGTCCCTGTGTAGCCTCAGCTTCAGACGTTGGGCAACCTTCTCTGCTGTAAGCCACTTACTGAGTGAGTTCCTTTCCCCACCACTCTGGGTACTCTGAGCATGTTCGTATGGTTGAAGAACCCTACCATCAGCCAGAGAACTGGAAAGAGTGCCAGAGATGCCTGAAAAATGCTCAGTGTTCTAAAGCACTGGGGAATGGAGTAACTCCTGCAATTTTTTTTCATAGAGATTAAAAGAAGAATCAAAGTTTAGTCCTGTCTAGAGAAGAAGGTAAACAAAAAATATAGCAAACAGCCCCCCCACCCCCGGCCTTAGTTCTAAGAAGATATTGGTGGAACTAGCATAGATGTTTTTTAATTAGGTCTGGCTGCTAGATAGGGCTATCTTTTCTCCAATTTTTAAAAAACTTACAGTTTAATTTCCTATAACTGATACATACAACTGGCAGTGGGATTCCTCTGATCCTCTATGCATTCATTTCTGTCATATTTTCATAATAAAAAGACACATTTTGTACATGACATAGGTAGAAATTAAAAGATTTTGCAATCAACATTAATTCAATAAATATTTATAAAGTTCCTACTTTGTGTAAGGCATTTTCTAGACACTACAGAAGAGACATAGGTGGGAAGGACACAGATACCACCCTCAACAGGCATAAAGCAAAATGGCTGAGAGAAAGTACCTAGAAAGCAATAACATCACAAGGTAGAAAGTAGTAAATGTCATGTTAAAAATTTTAAATGTACCATTTTGGGAATTTAGAAAACCACATGTTTGCTAAATCATTTAGAAAACACCTTAAATGCATTTGGTAAGAAGTCTACTTTCCACCTGTGGTGGGTCAGAGTATAGCCTTTACTTCCCTCCAGTAGTTTACTCAGGTGTAAAACATTTCTCTTTGCTTGGCATGAGCAGTGCTTATACACCTGAAAATATTCATGAGTGTGGGCATGGACATTCATTTTGCATTTTTCCTAAGACATACTCTGGCTTGGAGATGAGCCGAGAAGCAGATGGATTTAGTTGTGTATCCTGGTGAGCATTCTCCTGGTTGCACTGCATTTCCACGGTAATATGTTTCCATGCTATTCTAAATATATGGAAAGAACAAATAACTGGAGAATCTAAGCAGGGTACAACAGGCTTGTTTACCTTGGCTGCTCAGAACCACTAATTCTGGTTTACCCCAGATTCCAAACGAGGAATTGAGATGACTGGGAAAAGAAAGATGATACATGAGACTAAATTTAAGTAATATTTTGATTTGCCTTGGGTCAGCTTCTCATTTAGAGAGGAAATGAATGGAGAATAAAAATAGTACAGTATTTACTATGAGTGGTACACTGGCAAAACCCTATTCCTTTTGTTAGTAATACTTTTGTCTCTTTTATAAGGTAGAGGTGATGTTTGTTGATTTCACATATGTAATTCACTTGGGCTCAACATGTTTTGGGATTTTTTTTTTCTATATAACATATAAATATGATATACGCGTAAGAAGTTAGCTTACTGTGATCTGATTGAAAAGAACAACCACTTTTTCCCTTTTGGTTTATCATTTAGATACTGAAAACCTGTGCAGCAACTGAATATAATTTGTCAGAGTAGCAAAGAAGCTGTCAAGCCATTTTCACATTCCAATCATCTGTTCATCTGTTTCTCAGAAGAACAAATACAAAATGCTTTTGATTTAACTTAATATATTTTTTTAAAAGTCCCAAATCTCTTGAACCGTTTATCTTCTGGGCTCAGAAACATTTGTTTGTTAAATATTCAATCACGCCCCAGTGCCAGGAACATCAATAGAATCTGCCTGATTAACTGTAGCACAGCATATGTACGCCGAAGATGAGAATGATTTCCCCAAGGAGCCAGAACTTCCTCTGTTGAACCACATTTCTTAAAAGGACATGCAGATGGGCATTTGGACAATGATTTCCGGTTGCACAAAATGGATTGCTCTTGCTGAGTTGTAATTCTAAAAAGATAATTTTAATGACTCTTGAGGGCCACCTACTTCGAGCAGATGGGACCCAGGCTCTTTGTACAACTTTAATGTTGAGCGAGTCAGGATAGAACTCTATTTTAGTCTTTGTAAAAGTGAATGATCATATTTATTTACATTTCAATTGAGTTTTTTTAAATTTAATTCAGTCCACCATGAAAAAAAATCTTATATAACATTCTCAAAAGTTCTGTAACAAAACACATCTGTAATATTCCGAACTACTTTTAACAGTAGTTTTGAATTTGCAATTGAAACTGTGTCAGCAGGAGTTCTGACTTTTGTCCAATGTTTTAGTGACTAAATGACAGCACCTTTTAGTTGTACAAAGCACTAGCAAACAATAGAGACAGTATAGGTTTGCTTCTGTTGTCAACTAAAGGACACAGTTACTTGCATAAACACAGCTAAAGACAGCCATAATGAAAAAATAATTTCTTTGATGATAACAAGAGGACCATTCAAAGATATCTTTTTTTTTTTTTTTTGAGACAGAGTCTCGCTTTGTTGCCCAGGCTAGAGTGAGTGCCATGGCGTCAGCCTAGCTCACAGCAACCTCAAACTCCTGGGCTTGAGTGATCCTTCTGCCTCAGCCTCCCAGGTAGCTGGGACTACAGGCATGCGCCACCATGCCCGGCTAATTTTTTATATATATATCAGTTGGCCAATTAATTTCTTTCTATTTATAGTAGAGGCGGGGTCTCGCTCTTGCTCAGGCTGGTTTTGAACTCCTGACCTTGAGCAATCCGCCCGCCTCGGCCTCCCAAGAGCTAGGATTACAGGCTTGAGCCACAGCGCCCGGCCTCAAAGATATCTTAAATGTTTTCATAACAACCAT